TAGGTACGGGTCGTTCGAGTACACTGTGATGCCATTCGGGCTGACCAACGCACCGGCGACTTTTCAGATGACCATGAACGAGGCATTTAGGCCGCTCTTAGATAAATGTGTAATAGTTTACCTCGACGACATTCTAGTGTACAGTCGGGATAAGTAGCAGCACTTAGCAGATCTGGAAGCAGTGTTTAAGGTTTTAGACGAGCACAGATTACTGACCAAGGGTTCCAAGTGCGAGTTCTTCTAGGATAGGTTAGAATTTTTGGGGCACGTTATTTCGGAGGCTGGAGTTGAAATCGACCCAAAGAAGCTGGATACGGTAAAAGCGTGGCATCCCCCGACGAACATCACGGAGCTGCAGAGCTTTTTAGGGTTCGTTAATTATGTGCGTCGGTTCGTCCCCGATATGGCACGGTTAACTGCCCCACTGACGGATTTACTGCGGAAGGGGGTCGCTTTTACGTGGGGGGAGAAAGAGCATGCTGCCTTCTCTGCCCTGAAAAATGTTCTCTGTTCACCGCCCGTCCTGCGCATCGCCGACCCACACCGCCCATTCGAAGTAGTTACCGACGCAAGCGATATCGCCATCGGAGCCGTACTGCTACAGGATTTCGGCAATGGCCTACAGCCTATCGCATACGAGTCACGAAAACTGCATCCGCCCGAGAAAAATTACCCGATACACGACCGCGAAATGCTTGCGACCGTGCACGCGTTCAAAGTATGGCGCTGTTACTTGACTGGCGCGGACGTGACAGTACGGACAGACCATAAATCACTACAGTACCTTCGCGCACAGCCACACCTCAACCCACGACAGATTCGCTGGCTCGATTTCCTCGAGTCCAACTTTCACTACACGGTCACTTACAAAAAGGGAGCCTCGAACATCGCCGACGCACTGACCCGCCCCACTGCCCAGATCCACGCAATACTACTCGCCCAGACAAGCCCGCTACTGACAGGCCTATTCACCCACGGGTACCAAACGGATCCATTCTTCACAGGAGGAAATTTGCAGCAGTTTGCAGCAGCAAAGGGAGTCTATTACGTAAAAACCGGGACTGGCCGCATTTGGGTGCCTGGGTATACACTGCTACGGGAATTACTGTTACAGGAGGCACACGACGGAGTTACCTCGGGGCATTTCGGAGTAGAAAAAACACGGCAGCAGCTGCAACGGTATTATTACTTGATAAGAAACTAGCGAGAGTTTGGCTTAGGAGCCATAGTAGCTTAGGTGACTTGGTGAAGTTCGAGGGTGTAGGGTGTAAGGAAAATGTCGAGAGAATTGTGGAAGGAGAGAAATGAAACTAGAAAGGAGGGGGATACAAGTAGTAAGCCCTAAAAGGGTTATACTCACTTTTGAGTACCCCACTACAGACTAGACATGCATTATAATCTGACACACCCCCATAGTCAAAGTGGGGTATAATCAGTACAGCATGCAGGCATAGAGCTAGAGTTCACAATAGGTAAGTAAGGCTAAAGCTAATCACAGAGGGCAAGTGAGGAGGAGGAGAGACTGTGGGGGAGAGAAGATGGGAGGCGACTGCTGACGCTGCAGACACACAGACGAGCTGCTGGCTCAGTGGCTACCGAAGCAAAGGCCCGGACTACAGGAGTAACTGGCTCCGCGGCTAAAAGTAGCGGCAGACGAGCAACTGACCCACAGGCGACTGGCGACTACCGGAGATTGTAGCCTCCGGACTGCTGGTGCTGCTGACGACAAGACTGCTGCCTCCACTTAACCTCCCCCAGCTGCCCAACGCCCCCCTCACACACCCCCTGCTCAAACCCTAGCCCTACACCCACAGCACCCCCTTAAACCCTAAACCCCAGACTCCCACACAACCACCCCCCTCAGCGATAGCTGCAGCAGTGGGAGACGAAGGAGGAGGAGGAGGAGGGGACGGCACGCACAACCGACACCCCCACAACCATCACCCCCACACCCACCCCCCCACGGCTGCACCGGGTCCAAGAGCGGCTGCTGCAGGGGCCAGGGGCGGCTGCTGCTGGGGCGGCTGCTCCAGGGGCTGCTGCTGCTGGGGCGGCTGCTCCAGGGGCTGCTGCTGCTGGGGCGGCTGCTCCAGGGGCTGCTGCTGGTGGGGCGGCTGCTCCAGGGGCTGCTGCTGCTGGGGCGGCTGCTCCAGGGGCTGCTGCTGCTGGGGCGGCTGCTCCAGGGGCTGCTGCTGCTGGGGCTGCTCCTGTAGGGGCGGCTGCTGCTGGGGCGGCTGCTCCAGGGGCTGCTGCTGGTGGGGCGGCTGCTCCAGGGGCTGCTGCTGCTGGGGCGGCTGCTCCAGGGGCTGCTGCTGCTGGGGCGGCTGCTCCAGGGGCTGCTGCTGCTGGGGCGGCTGCTCCAGGTGCTGCTGCTGCTGGGGCGGCTGCTCCAGGGGCTGCTGCTGCTGGGGCTGCTCCTGTAGGGGCGGCTGCTCCAGGGGCTGCTGCTGCAGCGGAAATTAGGAGGGAGGGGAGGGGAAGGCCGCGGCCCCCAGGGTGCCCTGACGGGCGACGTGCTAGGGAGCCGCGCAGGCCCCCGAAAGTGCCTCGACGGGCGACGGGAGGGGACCGCGCGCAGGCCCCTAAGGCGCCGTGACGAGGCAACGGGAGGGGCCGGCTCGCGGGCCCCGAAAGTGCCGCGACGAGGCGACGGGAGGGGCCTGCGTGCGGGCCCCCAAAAACGCCGCGACGAGGCGACGGTCGGGGCCAGTGCGCGGGCCCCCAAGACGCCGCTACGAGGTAGGAACCCGCCGCGCGCCTCGGGGCGCACGGCGGGCAGAAAACCGCCACGCGTTCCGAGCGCGTGGCGGGAAGAAAAAAAGAGAATGTCGCGCGCCACGGGGCGCGCGACACACAGTAGGGCAGCGGAAGCAAGTGGGCCCACAGGCCAGGAGCTTTAAGCTCTGATAGCATGATAAGAAACTAGCGAGAGTTTGGCTTAGGAGCCATAGTAGCTTAGGTGACTTGGTGAAGTTCGAGGGTGTAGGGTGTAAGGAAAATGTCGAGAGAATTGTGGAAGGAGAGAAATGAAACTAGAAAGGAGGGGGATACAAGTAGTAAGCCCTAAAAGGGTTATACTCACTTTTGAGTACCCCACTACAGACTAGACATGCATTATAATCTGACATTACTGGCCCGAAATGTTGACCGACGTACAACGACACGTGGCTTCGTGTCCCACTTGTCAACTCATGAAATCATCACGACAGCGGCCGGCGGGACAGTTGCAGCCGATACCACCCCCAGAGCGTGCTTGGCAGCAGGTGACGATGGACTTCGTCACGGGGTTACCAGCCGGGGCGAGTGGGAACGACGCGATCCTGGTCGTCGTCGATCGACTGACGAAAATGGCACATTTCGCAGCCTGCAAAAAATCAATCACAGCCGAAGAAACAGCATGCCTCTTCATCTCCACCGTCGTTCGACTGCACGGGATACCAGCCGCGATCATCAGCGACCGCGACACGAAATTCACCAGCAACTTCTGGCGGAACCTGTGGCAGCAGTTTGGCACGCGACTGCAATTCAGTTCATCATACCACCCCGAAACCGACGGACAGACAGAACGGACAAATCAGACCATGGAACAGCTCATCAGGGCCACGTGTGACGACCCGACCACGTGGGAACAGCAACTGCCACTAATCGAATTCGCGTACAACAACTCGCCATCCGCCACGACCCAACAGTCACCATTTTACCTAAACTACGGACAAGACCCGACAGTACCCATGACCCCGAATCCCGACAACCCAGTACCACGAGTACAACAATTCGCCGAAATATTATAAGCAGCACGGACCCGGGCAGTAGATGCAATAAAAAAATCGAACATCATCGCTAAACGCAACGCCGACCGCCACCGCAGTCCTGTCACTTACCAGCCCGACGACTTAGTTTTACTTGACACTCAGAACCTCCGACTGCCCATCACCCCGAAACTCCGCCCCCGATACTGCGGGCCATTTCGCATAAGCCACATGCTTACACCCGTCACCGCCCACCTCCTCCTCCCTGCTGACTGGTACGTCAGCCCCTCATTCCACGTCAGCCTACTTCGCCCTTACGTCCCGTCCACGAGCCAACTGCCACGCAATCGCCCAGCCAGCATGACAAGACCACCAACTGAACCAATCATCACCCCCGAGAAAATCCTGAGTCACAGAGTTCGCGACCCTCGAGGAGCCCGAAGGATCGAGTTCTTACTCCGCTGGAAGGACCGTACACCCACCGAAGACAATTGGGTTCCCCTGGACAGAATCGAAAACCACCCCGTCCTCACCGAGTATCTGCGCAGCCGAAATTTCAGGGATGTACACGCACTTTCGTAAGGAGGACCTCCTTAGGGGGGGGGTAGTGTAAGGAAAATTCCTTTTCCTTACTTCGCATCCCTGCTCAACGCGTACATCACTGTAGCACCACAGTCAGCACCGTTACCACTCGCAACCCTCGCATCGACAATCCGCCCGCCACCTTCGCACATCGCACCCCGACCTCACGGCTCGGCGGGTAACCCGCGCTCCGGGCCTCCGCTTCGACACTTTTTCCCAACCTCAGTCCCAGGCCCGTCGCGCGACAACCACAGTCCATTACCGTTACCACTGTAGTTTCGCTATATATTCTTCGCTCATGCCTTCGCTCATTGTACTCTTGCTTCGATAGTGCAATTCTCGTTCGTTCACTCAATTGCACTCGTAACACTACTTCCCTAAATATTATTTCCATTCTATTTTCCTTTTCATTTCTTTCTAGAGATGTAAGTTGCAAAGAAGACTTCAAAATTAATACAGTAGGGTGATCGATTATCCAGACGACCATTAGGCCATGTTCTTATGAGGCCCAAAAATAGATTCAAACAAGTGCTCTGTTATCAGTTGTTTTCAGGCCGACCACTGGCCCATGTGATGTTCTTACGAGGCGCGAGAATAGCCTCCACTTCTTTCAGCATCGTCTCATCAATGCCTCGCTCTGCTGCTTGCATCAAATACACAACCAATGTGCTATGCTGAGTTGTTCTCGGTTCGACCACTGGCCCATGTGGTGTCCTTATGAGGCGCGAGAATACCCTCCACTTCTTTCAGCATCGCCTCATCAATGCCTCGCTCTGCTGCTTCGATCACTGCTGCAACATTCTCCCGCACCTGCATCCACCTCGAGGGCACTCATATTAGACTTCACACGAATATCTCCCCCATTTCATTCAGCAAGTTCTCATCAATATTAGCATTTCTCATTAAAGTTCCGATGACCTGTCTGCTTCGATCACCGATGCCAAAATCTCCTCCACCTGCACTGACAGCAAGCGGGCAAGGAAGGACACAGCGCTGCAGCCTCAACCATACCTGCCTCCCCACTGCTGCTCAGCACCTCTGCGAACCACACAGGAACATTCAGACACTTCACTTCCTTCACGTGCTCTGCTGCACCATGCTTTTGAGGCGCCTCAAAAGTGGACTGCTGTTCAGAGCACCTCTGTCAACCACACAGGAAGAATCAAACACTTTACTCCCCTCACCTGCTGCACCGTGCTCATGTGCCCACAAGTATCATCACAATCAGCCAGCCTCCCTGCTGCTGCACAAACCACACCATTTCTGCCCATCCAGCCACCTTAAACTGCTTCTCCCCCCTCACCTGCTGCACTGTGCTCATGCCCACAAGCGTCGTCGTGATGGCTGGGTTGAGAGTTGCAAACTGAAGGACCAGCCGGTTCGATCAGTGCCGCTGCTGCTGCACATAACACCACACCTCTTACAGCCACCTTAGAAACGCCCCTCTCCTCACCTGCTGCTCTTTCTCTCCTTACCTGCTGCACTGTGCTCATGCCCACAAGGGTCGTGATGATGGCTGGGTTGAGCGTTGCAAACTGGAGGGCCAGTGCGGGTGATCAGCCTCCCTGCTGCTACACACACCGCCACACCATTGCTACTCACACAACCACCGTTTCAAACGCTCATCACGCAACAATCTTTAAACGCTTCTCCCCTCACCTGCTGCACTGTGCTCATGCCCACAAGCGTCGTGGTGATGGCTGGGTTGAGCTTTGCAAACAGGAGAGCATCAATCTCCCGGTTACCATGCTATTGCTCACTACACGACACTCCCAACATTTCTCCCCTCACCTGCTGCACTGTGCTCATGCCCACAAGCTTCGTGGAGATGGCTGGGTTGAGCTTTGCAAACAGGAGAGCATCAATCTCCCGGTTACTATGCTATTGCTCACTACACGACACTCCCAACATTTCTCCCCTCACCTGCTGCACTGTGCTCATGCCCACAAGCGTCGTCGTGATGGCTGGGTTGAGCGTTGCGAACTGCAGGGCCAGCCGGGGCAGCGATGCTCCCCGCTGCTGACAGGCCAGTGCTGCCGCCTTGCATGCATCCTGATGGTAAGCAGAGGAGCAGAAGGAAAGATGGGTTCAGATGGGTGGAGAGAGCTGCAAACTAGAGGGTCAACGGGCCAACCGGCGAGTGCTGCCGCCTTGCATGCATCCTGAAAGTTACGAAGACAGAGCGGAAGACAAAGGGAGTATTGTTAGAGTCTCTAAGTGCAAAAAAAATACGTTTTATCCAGTCTAACTTCGAGAGAGGGCAAGAAGGGGGGCACTGCTAAGCCACGAGCTGGATTGAGCGTGGCAAATAGAAGGGCCAGTCGGGGCAGCGATGCTCCCCGCTGCTGACAGGCCAGAGCTGCCGCCTTGCGAGGCGCCTCAAAAGTCGGTTTTTGAGGCGCCTAAAAAATGCTGATAGGCCAGAGCTGCCGCCTTGCATGCATCCTGATGGTGAGAATGACAGAGGGAGGGAGGGGGGCAGGCGACAGGCAGGCGAAAGGCCAGCGAAGGGCAGGCGTGGAATGATCCCCACATGAGTCTGACTTGCTTTACAAGTGTGTGTTGAGTCGACTCAAAACACACCTGAGTCGACTCAAAACACACCTGAGTCGACTCAAAACACGAGAGGCCAGCGAAAGGCAGGCGTGAAATGATCCCAACATGATTCTGACTTGCTTTCCACTATTTGGATCCACTTACCTTCAGCGGTTGGGGCGCAGGGTGGCTTTTGAGTCGACTCAAAAGTCAGCGAAGGGCAGGTGAGAGGCCAGCGAAGGGCAGGCCTGGAATGATCCCAACATGAGTCTGACTTGCTTTCCACTATTTGGATCCACTTACCTTGAGGGGCTGCGGTACGGGGTGCCAGGAGGGGGGTCCCTGGGGGGTGAGCAAGCCCATTGATAGCGGCGAGGCACTGATGACCCCCACGCCCTGCTGCTGCAGCCACGGCAGCAGCGGCTCAAGCGTTGTGTCGTTGAGTGAGTAGTGGCAGTAGGAGAGGATGAGATCGAGCGAGGCGGGAGGGAGGCAAGAGGCAGGAGCAGGAAAGAGGCAGGGGGGGGGGGGGGGGGGGGGGTGGGGGGGTTACCTTGAGGGGTTGTGGTGCGGGGTGCCAGGAGGGGGGTCCCTGGGGGGTGAGCAGGCCCATAGAGAGAGGAGACGCGCTGATGACCCCCACGCCCTGCTGCTGCAGCCACGGCAGCAGCGGCTCGAGCGTCGTGTCGTTGAGTGAGTAGTGGCAGTAGGAGAGGATGAGATCGAGCGAGGCGGGAGGGAGGCGGGGGAGAACGGATTGGTAGACGGAGAGAGGGAGGCCCGTGATGCCGATGAATCGAATCTTGCCGGCCGCTTTCAGCTCCTGGAGGGCCGGGATTGTCTCATTCACGATCTGGGGACGGGGAGGAGGGGAGGAAAAGGGGGAGAGAGAGGGGAGGGGGTTTGATGGCATGTTTGATGGGAGGAGAGATGTCAGATGGGAACAAAGGAGCAGTGGGAGTGGCACTGAACAATGTCCTCCCACTCCCACTGCTCTTTTGTTCCCATCTGTCCAGATACAGTGTCTGCAGCCTGCATGACACAGCTCTCCTCCTCCACGCTTCTTCTGATCCGACCCGATCCGATCAGCACTCAAGTCAAACGCACATGCACCAAACCAGCAGCAGAGAGTCCCAGAGGCAACCCTTCCCCTCTCCCTTCCCACTCGCCTGATCCAGACTCCCGGATTCAATGTCATGGCACTGAACGAACAATATCCCGGTACGGCGCCTGCAGCCGCTGGCATCTCTGCTGCACGATTTTGAGTTGACTAAAAAATAGGCTCAATGTCACGGCACTGAACGAACAGTATCCAGGTACGGCGCCTGCAGCGACTGGCAGCTCTCCTGCACGATCCTCCTGACCCGACCTGTACAGTCCAGTGTCCATCTTGGTAGCAACCAGACATAAGCACCCTTGACCAGTGTCCATCTCTCACCACTGGTCCATCTTTCACCTTCCCCTCCCCCTTTCCCTCTCACCTCACCTGATCCAGACTCCCGAATTCAATGTCGTGGCATTGAACAATATCCAAGTAAGGTGTCTGCAGGCGCGCACAGCTCTCCTCAACGCTCTTTCTGATCCGATCCGCACTGAAGTCGAACTCGTCCTGCCCGTACCGCACCGCCCCACCTTGGTAGCAGAGCAACAACCCTCACCTGATCCAGACTCCCAAACTCAATGTCATGGCACTGAACAATATCCAAATACGTTGTCTGCAGCCGCGCACAGCTCTCCTCCACGCTCTTTCTGATCCGATCCGCACTGAAGTCGAATTCGTCCTGCCCGTACCGGCCCACTTTAGTTGCGATTATCACATCCTCCCGCGAGCACGGCAAAGTGGCTATCGCTCGACCCAGCACCGTTTCAGCTCTTGTTGACCCATAGAACCTGGAATGGAAAGGCCCGAACGGAAAGGGGTGGGGAGGAAGAGGGTCGACGGAAGCACTGAAGTCGAATTCGTCCTGCCCGTAACGCCCCAAATTGGTGGCAGTCAATACCTCCTCCCCCAGGCACGGCAATGTGGCGATGGCACGCCCTAAAATTGTTTCGGCCCGGGTAGACCCATAGAACCTGGAGAGTGGAACGGGGTGAGAAAGAGAAGAGGGGAGAAAGCCTCTAAGTCAAACTCGTCCTGCCCGTACCGCCCCACCTTGGTTTTGTACGATAACCACGTCCTCCCGCGGGCAGGGCAGCGTGGCAATGGCACACCCTAGTACGGTCTCGGCTCGTGTGGATCCGTAGAACCTGCAGGCAGAGAGCAGAGCAGAGGGAGGAGGAAAGCAGTGGAATAAATTCAGACTGGTCCTGCCCGTACCGCCCCACCTTGGTGGCAATCACTACGTCCTCCCGCGGGCAGGGCAGCGTGGCAATGGCACGTCCTAGTACGGTCTCGGCTCGTGTGGATCCGTAGAACCTGCAAAAGTGGAGAGCCGCAAAGGTGGAGAGAGAGCGAGAGAGAGAGAGAGAGAGAGAGAGAGAGAGAGAGAGAGAGAGAGAGAGAGAGAGAGAGAGAGAGAGAGAGGGGCAGGAAGCACTGGAATCAATCAAGTCAAACCCGTCCTCCCCATACCGCCCCACCTTGGTGGCAACCACCACATCTCCCCGCGCGCACGGCAGCGTGGCGATAGCCCGTCCTGGCCCTGACTCTGCTCAGGTAGACCCGTAGAACCTGCAGGCAGGGAGCAGAAGGCGGAGGGAGGGGAGGGGAGCAAGCACTGGAACCAAACTCGTCCTGCCCGGGTGGAACCCGTAGAACCTGGAAGCAGGGGTACAAGGAGATAAAACACTGAAGGCGATCTCATCTGGGCTGGGCCGTACCGCCCCTGTCCGCGCGCCCTCCTACTCGTCGATCGCGTCGAACACACCTTTTATCACACATGACACGACCAACTAGTTGACTTTTGAGTCGACTCAAAAGTCAACCCTGTCCTCGCGCCCTCCTACTCGTCGATCGCGTCGAGTCGAACACACCTTTTATCACACATGACACGACCAACTAGACTAAGGACACGTACGGCGAGACGTCAAAGAGGTTAATTCCGAGTTTAACGGCCTCGTGCACGGCCCGCACGCCCTCCTCCTCGTCGATCTCCTCGAATACGCTCCCCAACGGCGACGCACCGAAACTCACGATCGAGAGGTCCAGACCCGTGCGACCCAGCGGGCGACGCGGCAGCGACATCGCAGTCGTCGCAGCGTCGGTCGCGGTCGCAGCGTCGGTCGGGAACGAATGAGCGGCGGAAAATCGAGAGCGAAGGACGGGGGATGAGGAAGTTAGAGGCGCTGCTGAAACTGCGAGGTAGGTGCGGCGGTAGCTCGTGGAAAGACGAGGAGAGCTGAGGTGTAGACGACGAGCGGCACTAAATTGGCAGAGCGGGGTTTCCAACGGTAAGCAGTGATGTCGAAAGTTAAGATTTCTCGCGTGGAGATTCAGGGTCATGCCTTGGTCACTCGGCTCGAGGAGAAAATGCGGCGCAGGGAACGGAGGAGTGCGGGAAACGTGTAGTCAATTGTGACGCGTCCTAGCGTAAGTTCTCGTGTTCTGATGAGTAAGATCGGATCAGGCAACCCAGCCAGGATGGTAGTGTACCGAGAAACAAGAGGCAGTCGCCCAGGCGAAGACGCGAACTATATAAACCAATGAACTGTTGTGACAGCTGTTCGCAAAGACGTCATTTCGTGTGCTCCAGTGAAAAATATGGCCTTGGTAACGCAGCGAAATCGAACGGGTAACATCGGATTTCAGCTGTTTTCGTGAACTCGCCCAAACTGGAACTCGATTCATTCAACACCTAACTAATTGGGGAATACCTGAGTTGAGCCTAAATATTGATTAATTAGTCAAATACTTCAGCTATTCCAAATTCTAGTCTCTTCGCGAACCACGCCATGTCGTAAACCGCCTGTTACTGCGGACTGAGGTTTGAGACGTTTCAAATCAACGCCCTATTAGTGGTTTCGAGTGAGAGCCATTGATTGACGCCTACTAGTAGAAGTAGCTTGTCGAACCACACGGGCCGTTGAATCACGCGTTACTGCAGACCGCTGCGTGAGTCGACCCAGAAATTGGTCCGATGCAAACTGATAGTTGTTACGAAGGGCCTAGTAGTATTTGCTACTAGTTGATCCGAAGCGGCCTTGTCATTGATCCGAAACGGCCTAATAGTTACTAGCAGTAGCCTGTCTAACCGCTTCGGGCCATGAACCGTGTGTTACTGCGGACTGTCGGCATCGTGGGAGGAGGCTTCGTGGCCGTTTCCGTCACGTCGTCGCTGTGCCTGAGAGCTGCGACTGCAGTGCTGGAAAAACGACGAGTGAGTCCGTCTGCTCATCCCCCTCTTTCCCCCTTCCCTTTTCTTACTCCGTTCCGCCCTCTCCCTCAACTCCGCTTACTCTCCGCTCATACCTCTTCGAAGTCGTCGCTGTGTCTGAGGGCTGCGACTACATTGTTGGAAAAACGACGAGTGAGCTCGCCTGCCCATCCCCCTCCGGTCCCTCCCCCCTGCTCATCCCCCTCCCGTCCCTCCCCGTCCTTCCCATCCCCTTTTCCTCCAACCCTGCACCCTGCTTTGAGGTTATTTTTGAGGCGCCTAAAAAATCTGCTCGTCTGCCCATCCCCCTCCCGTCCCTCCCCCCCTTCTCATCCCCCTTTCCTCCAACCCTGCACCCTGCTTTCTCACCGGCTCATCCCCTCGCTCGCCCACGTTGTTGTTCTTCCTGAGGTAACAACTGCGGTGCTGGAGAAAAATCGACAACGTCCGTTCTCCAATCCCCCTTTCCCGTCCCTCCCTCCCTCCCTCCCTTTCTTGCGTTTCTGTTTCCCTCCCCCTTCTCCTCCCTCACCTACTTTCTTATCTTCCCCTCTCCCTCTCTCTGTCTCTCCCTCTGTATCTCCCTCCCTTCCTAACGTATGTAGCTCATTATGTGCTAATCCCATTGCTCATGCGCTATCCCATTGCTCATTATGTGCTATCCCATTTCTCTGTGATCTTTTACTGTGCTCATTATGTGCTATCCCATTTCTCTGTGATCTTTTACTGTGCTCATTATGTGCTATCCCATTTCTCTGTGATCTTTTACTGTGCTCATTACGTGCTATCCCATTTCTCTGTGATCTTTTACTTCGCTTCCCTTTCCCATATGCGCCAAGGCCGTCCCTCCTAGCACAGAGCGCCAATGCAAGCTGTTTTAATGTTGTCATTTGTGTGGTTCCAGTCGTATCAAGAGTACACTCAGTAATTCCCACAAGTACCATCGTTCATCTCCACTTCCTTTTCGCACATAGCCCAATATGGCCCCCTTGCACCGTCTGTCAAAGCAGGTGGTTTAACCCATGCCACTTGTGGGTTTTTTGGGATGCGTTTTTTTTGCCGATATACTTCTTCCCCATACCCTCCGTGTGTCCTGTCTTAACCCACTTCCCTTTCCCATCTGGCCCTAGCCTGCCGTCCAAGCACCATGTGTGAAACGAAGCTGCTGTACCCTAGTCAACTGTGTGTTTTCGGACATTCAAAGATGCCCACTAACCCTATCTTTCAAGATGACTTTTGAGTCGACTCAAAAGTCTCCAAGCACCGTGTGTGAAACGAAGCTGTTGTACCCTAGTCAACTGTGTGTTTTCGGACATTCAAAGATGCCCACTAACCCTATCTTTCAAGATGACTTTTGAGTCGACTCAAAAGTCTCCAAGCACCGTGTGTGAAACGAAGCTGTTGTACCCTAGTCAACTGTGTGTTTTCGGACATTCAAAGATGCCCACTAACCCTATCTTTCAAGGTGACTTTTGAGTCGACTCAAAAGTCTCCAAGCACCATGTGTGAAACGAAGCTGCTGTACCCTTGACAGCTGTGTGTTTTCGGACATTCAGAGATGCCCACTAACCCTATCACTCAACCCACTTCCCTTCGCCACATAGGCCAAGGCTGCCCCTCCTTACACCGTGTGCCAAAGGGAGCGGTTCTACGGTCCACCCTTGTCAGTTGTGCCGATCAGCGGAGAAGATCCAATGGAGCCCACTGGCTGACTGACCTGACCCTGTGCTGCCTCTTCCATGCATATGCCCCACATGCAAAGAGGTGACTTTTGAGTCGACTCAAAAGTCTCAGTTGTGTTGATCAGCGGGGAAGATTAGTGGAGTCCTCTCGCTGACCTTGTGCTGCCTCGGCCACCCATATGCCCCACATGCTACGGCAACAAGATTTGACGGGGTGACGGTTTTCTTCTTTCACCTCCCCTTTCCTTCCCCACATAGACCAAGACCGCCCCTCCTTGCACCGTGTGTCAAGGCAAGCGGTTCTACCCTTGTCAGCTGTGTCGATCTTCGGGGAAAGCAATTCTGCCCATGCTCATCTTCTTGCATACCCCTCCAATAAACCCCATCTTTCAACCCCAGTTCCCTTCCGTCTAGGCCAAGACTGCTCCCCCTTTCACCGTGTGTCAAGGCAAGCGGTTCTACCCTTGTCAGTTGTGTCGATCTTTGGGGAAAACAATTCTGCCCATGCGCATCTTCTTGCATACCCTTCCATCTTTCAACCCCACTTCCCTTCCATCTAGGCCAAGACTGCTCCCTTTTGCACCGTGTGTCAAGGCAGTCAGTTGTGTCGATCTTTGGGGAAAACAATTCTGCCCATGCGCATCTTCTTGCATACCCTTCCAGTAAACCCCATCTTTCAACCCCACTTCCCTTTCTCCACACAGGCCAAGACTGCCCCTCCTTGCACCATGTGTCAAGGCAAGCGGTTCTACCCTTGTCAGCTGTGCCGATCAGCGGGGAAGATTCAGTGGAGCCCACTCGCTGACCCTGTGCTGCCTCGGCCATGCATGCATATGCCCCACATAAACCTCATTTCAATTCCAATCTTCTTCCCCTCACAGGTCAAGACTGCCCCCCCTTGCACCGTGTGTCAAGGCAAGCGGTTTTACCCGTGTCAGTTGTGCCGATCAGCGGGGAAGATTCAGTGGAGTCCTCTAGCTGACCCTGTGCTGCCTCGGCCATGCATATGCCCCACATGCAAAGGCAACAAGTGCGTTACAGTGTCTATGTGTTTTTTTTTTGCGTCCGTGCTGTAGCCCCCATCATGCGTTGAAGCATCTTGGTGTTTTTGTTTTCAATGTCAGTGCTCATATTGATTCATAGCCATGTCTGCTTGCTTGATACGTGCAGGATCCAAAAATGTTTGAACTGCGCTGGAAGAGGTTATGTTTAGTAACTTTCAATGAGTCCAATTCTTGTGCCATCTCCATGCTCCCTAAGATTTGAAATGCATGGCTTCCATGCTGAACACATTCAAATCACATTATGCTCGTGCCACTGTACGGAGAAAATTAACTCGTCACCTACACTCCATCTTGGAGATTGTAGAAGGAAACGAGGAAACTCAGTAGTGGAGTCAAATCCTTCACACACACATCTCCTCTGCAGTTGTCTGATGGTGATGCCTGTTTGTGATCTGGACTCTTGGCGAATATTGTTCCACCATTTCGTGTAGATTCCGTCGAAATGGCTGCCGTTTCTTCCGCGCTCGTGTCAGCTGCCTCTCCCCCTCGAGATTCCTTGGTTCTGCTTCTAATGAAGGGTCATCCAGGCAGCGGTAAAAGCACACTCGCTCGAAGCCTCGCACGATCCCTACGCTGGCCACTAGTCGATAAAGACGTCTTTCGCGACGCGACGATGCTTCTAGGTTTATCCGTGGTTGTCGATTGTCCTCTAGCGCACGAGGCGCTTTTTAAAGCCGGCGTGGCGCTCGGTACGCGTGTCGGAGCTGAGGTTGCGTTGATCGAGTGCCACGTGTCGGATTTGGACACGTGGAAGCGGAGGATCCAGTCCCGTGCAGCGGCTGCTCTGTCTGACGGTCGACCATCAGAAAACGTCGAGAATTGTGAGGGAAGCTGCCGGCCGTCTGTTCTTAGCCAACCACATGCTGGAAGCAACAGAGGGAATAACGAGAGCTCGGGAGCTAGTGCTGGAACTGTTTCTGTGAGTTCTGACGGAGCAAGCGAGATGGTTCCTGCCGCTATAAGAGCAGACGGAAAAGAAGCAATACACAGGCAGACAGAGCTGGTTAGACGCGTTAGTGATTCTAATGATGTGAGCGTGCATGAAAGAAGAGGGGAAATTAAGATGGAAAGTGCGAGTGAGAGTGAAAAGCAACAGACCGTAGACAGGTTGAAGTTTACAGCGCGCATGCACACAGACTCAGGAAGACGTGGGAGTAAAAATGATGATGTGAGCGTGCAGGAAAGAGGAGGGGACAGCGCGAGTGAGAGTGAAAAGCAACAGACTGCAGACAGGTTGAGTTTTACAGAGCGCATGCACACAGACTCAGGCGGAGGCGGGTGTAGAGACGATGATGTGAGCAGTCAGGAAAGTGGAGGGGACAGCGCGAGTGAAAGAGAGACTAGGATTGAGAGTGAGAGGGGGAAAGCGGCAGGAGTAAGTTTGAAGGGGCGGTGGCACCGGCCGGCTTGTTGGGAGGACATGACTTCTGGATAGGTACAACGGCTGCTGGACCTATCCCACAGGTTCGGTACCGAAGCTGATGATAGACACGGGGATTGTGGGTCCGGATGAAGCTCTGGCCATGGCTTTGGATTGGTTACAAACTGCCCTGGTGCTTAGGAGAAACTGAGGATGCTTTATCTATCTCACCAGCTCTTCACCTCTTAGACACAACGACTGTGGGCCCAGACCCAGACGAAGCACTGGCGCTGGCGTTGGCCTGCTTGGAATCTGCATTGGTGATCGGGAAATACCGAGGAAGGGCTATATACACTTCATCTTATCCCGCCCGCACCGCATTGTGTAAAATAGTGAATCCGTTTTTTGTCCGATAGGGATTACATACCGTATCTTCAATTTGGATAGAGCTGTACAAGAAAGCCCTGGGCTCCTGTATTGTGCTGGTGACATGTTTTCATCAGGTTACCATGCTGCCGCGGCCAAACTTGCATTTGTCAAGGCAATGATTCCTGGTAATGCTTGTACTAATAATTCCTTGTCTTCTGCCATAATGCTTGTACTGTAGTACAGTACTGTAGTACTGCTATTGCCATTGCAGCAACTGGGCATATGTATGTGCATTATGGATTGGGTTGGTTCTTTCATCCACCTGTGATATGATAAAATGCATGTCATCCTGCGAGCTCCAACCACACTTCGTCGTTTGCCTACATTAAATGAATGTGCCTGCCTTTCATGCCCATCTTCTGTGAATCAAGCCTTTGCATTGCATTGCCATTTCGTGTGAACCAAGAGCTCAATCGCCGTTTCTTGTCCACATTCAAAGAATCGTCTGTAACACTGGCCTTCTGTCCAAATTCGCTGAACCAAGTATCACGATCTTCCGCCTTGCAAAGGCCTAGTGGGGTACCTTCTATCTCCCTCCACAGCCATTGGTCCGCTTCTGCTCGTCTCCCTCCCCTCCCAAGTTGACTTTCTAGTCGATTCAAAAGTCAACTAGTGGGGTACTCTATTCCCTTCCAAAGCCATTGGTCCGCTTCTGCTCTTATCCTTCTCCTTCCGCCTCTCCCCTTTCTCCCTTTTCGCCCCTCTGTCTGCGTTTGCTGGCCTGAAACTGCGCAAGGATAGGCCTGTGCGCAACATGTCACTGCGCCAACGTCTGGATGCCTTTTTTACCACTATTTCTTCACACAGTTCCCTAATACATCCTATTCCCTAGCCATAGGAACTTATTTTACCTCGTTAGCACAACTACGCAGCACGTGACGCATGTTTGTGCGTTTGCTGGCCTGAAACTGCGCAAGGATAGGCCTGTGCGCAACATGTCACTGCGCCAACGTCTGGATGCCTTTTTTACCATTATTTCTTCACACAGTTCCCTACTACATCCTATTCCCTAGCCATATGAACTTATTTTACCTCGTTAGCACAACTACGCAGCACGTGACGCATGTTTGTGCGTTTGCTGGCCTGAAACTGCGCAAGGATAGGCCTGTGCGCAACATGTCACTGCGCCAACGTCTGGGTGCCTTTTTTACCATTATTTCTTCACACAGTTCCCTACTACATCCTATTCCCTAGCCATAGGAACTGATTTGACATCGTTAGCACAACTACGCAGCACGTGACGCATGTTTGTGCGTTTGCAGGCCTGAAACTGCGCAAGGATAGGCCTGTGCGCAACATGTCACTGCGCCAACGTCAAGATGCCTTTTTTACCACTATTTCTTCACACAGTTCTCTACTACATCATTTTACCTAGCCATGGGAACTGATTTGAACTCGTTAGCACAACTACGCAGCACGTGACGCATGTTTGTGCATTTGCTGGCATGAAATTGTGCAAGGATAAGCCTGTGCGCAACATGTCACTGCGCCAACGTCTGGATGCCTTTTTTACCACTATTTCTTCACACTGTTCCCGACTACATCCTAGTCCCTAGCCAGGGTTCACGGTGTCTTGAGACTCCCCTATCATTTTCAGGGCTTCATAACAACGTTTGGCCTGTGGCGGACACTACAATCCAAACGCCGGAAACTCCGCACTAGCTTCTGGCTTCCCTTGCAAACGAATGCATGCAAAGCCTATCTAGCCTTATTGGATTGAACTACAACTGATAGGGGGGTCTAGACGTGGTGTCTTGAGACCCCCTTATCATTTTCAGATCGTTATGACAACGTTTGGCCTGTGGCGTGCACTAAAAACCAAACGCCTGAAACTCTGCACTAGTTTCTGGCTACCCTTGCTGACAAATGCATGCGAAAACTGTCTAGCTTTATGATGCAATATGTGGCACGTAACTGCTGTACATATTCATGTTGATTTGGCCATGCCACCCGCGACGGGCGAGGCATTTAACAGCACCCCACACCGTATCCGAGCGGTTCCGTCATTCCGTAAGAAGGGTTGGTTCGGTGATGGTTGCATTCCAAGGTACAGGAACAGAGTGGTACGGCAAATTTCTGCAACAATTCCATGTCGGCCATGGTACAAATCGCCGCGAATTCGCATCTGTGAGGTATTATATCGACCATGACGAGTAAGATGAGTTCAAGGGTTGTCAACAATTCAGTTTAGAGGGGGTATCTCAAAGGTACAGTGCAGTAGAGACAGATTCCATTCTTAGAGCTATACATTTTGTGCAGCATGACTCGGCAGGCCAGACGTGGTTCATTAACCATTTTCTGTTTTGATGGCAGTGTTGTACAAACATGTATATATTGAGCACTGATTAGTGTCCAGTTGCATTTGAATTCTAGGCTCCTGATTAGTGTATCTACTTGGTGGGAGAAGGGAGAGTCGTGCGCATGATATTGTGTTCTTATAATAGTGTGGATGTCGCCACGTTTGTTGGATTTCATCGTCCCAGACCACGTGGCGGCTATACCGTGGTCATCTCCTTGTAAAATGATCGCAGTGCGGTTGTGCGATTCGTCGCGAGCCCACGGCGTCGCCTGGCAACATCAAAGGTGTCGCCAGGTACAGAGCTCGACCAGATGAGTCGCGACTCTCAACCACTTTCGTACGCCAATCAGGAGCTCCCCGTCAACATTTTCCAGATGTTAACGACTGTAGAAATCGGTTGTGCGACACTTCAACTCACAGCCTTGTCCTTGTTTCTGCCGAGTATGGTGACCCCACGCCCTCATCCCCTTCCTGGAAGTGAGCCTCCTACGGGCCGCCCTCAGAGACCAGTTGTGGTGCCTGCTAGGTACAACACTGGTACACTTGGTGTTACATTACCTGGGCGAAAGGCTAGTGTTACAGCTGCGAATGAGGTTTCAGTCGGTAACCAACCTGACAACTCGACACTAAACCTGCATGGAATGTCGCCTGAGCAGCTTCAGTTTTTGATGTCTCAAGTCAGTGCGGAGTTCACCCGCAAGAGCTCCTCCAGTTCTGAGTCTGGCAACCTGCTCACGCCAGATCTCGTCGATCAGCAGCTCTCGTCTGACGAGGCCGATGCGGACGAGCCTGGCGCAGTTCGCAACCTTCCATTAGCGCCTGAGGCAGGTCCACAGACAGACATTGGATCTGCCGATGGTCAGCTGCCGGTAACACTCGCGCCAGCGTTAGAAGCAGCGGACGATGTGGACGAAAATGAACCTGGCGCTAGCGAAGACGACGACGACAGCGGTAACGACGACCGCCCCTCTCCTCGGCGCAGGAAAGGTTCTGTTGCCGCTATGCATGCCGGTGCTTCTAACCCCACCTCGAAGCGGAAGGGTAAACGCCAGAAAAAACCGGAAGGTGAGGATACGTGTACCCGTTGCTGATTACTTGCTAAGGTATCGATTCCTTGCTGACTCTGTGTTGTTGCAGTTTTATTTAAGCGTGTGGCTAATCCTTACCCGTTGCTGTGTTCGTGGTGGATGTTCCCCGTGTGATCATGATGTGATCCTGGATGTGAAATGGATGGTGTTTTGCAGAAGTTGTTCAGGAAGTTGACAAAGCGCAGGCTGCAGCTTCTGATCACCAGCGCACGGTCGAGTTGCAGCAGGAGACACTGGCGGACGTTCGGCGGCAACTGGAGGAGAGCCAGCGGGCGAATCAACTGCTCCGGGCGAGCAGCTCTGCCCCAACTTCCGCGCTGCCCCCAGCGAGCCGTAGCCCCAACGCTGAGGTCAACGTTGCAAGTACTTCACGGGGCCACAACGTGGCCCGTTCAACTATGGCGCCTGCGGTCGCACATGTGGCGGTCGGACGATCGCTGGCAACATCCACGATTCCTGCGCCGCTCGCGCCAAACGCCTCTCGCTCACTTGTCGCCCCCCTCGCTCATCCGGGACTCCCAGCACCTCGACCGGCTGCTCTTGAAACTTCGCCCAAGCTTCCGGAATCGCTTACCGAGCTCACCTTTTTCACGGTAAACCGTGCGCATTGATTCTGAATACCCGCCACCTAGCTTACGTTTATACCTTCAATGTTCCGCTCGCAACCTCCCCACCCACCCCCGTACCTTCTGTACCTTGATCCTATGCTCGCAACCTCGTATTCCCACCCACCCACCCTCGCAACCTTCTGTACCTTGATCCTGTACTTCGCAAGCCTGCATTCCCACTCTGATCTTATGCAACCCGCGCTTTCTACATTGGCTTCAACCCGCGCTCCCTTGCACTTTGCATATCCGTCTTGTAATGCATGGCAGGCAAAGTGCAACCAAGCGGTTTTGTACTTCATTGCTGAAGCTCCCCCGAGGGAGATTAACTTCTGGCCTGAGCCGCAGGAGTTGAGGCAGCAACTCATCCGTACGTATCGGATGGTGAACGTTTCCGAGGAAACGTTCAACCTTGTCATGAATTCTCACCCAGAACGGGAGAGGATTCTTAAAGACAAGGTCGGCGAGTCAAGACGTGGGCACATGGGCCAGGCGGGTTCGTCACGGAATCGAAGATTCCCATGCTGGCTGCTGAGAACATGGCGCCGGTGCAGCGCCGCAACGTCCAGCAGTGGCACCTTTTCTATTTTGATGGTAAGTACGCGCCTCGTTTTTAACGTTGCATGCCCCGAGCACTTCCAGCCCTTGTTTCCTGAGTTCCACATGTATTGTGCTTACATCAAGCGGATTTCTGTGCTTGCAGCCGTTTATGGCAGCAAGTGGCACTGCGATCCTGACACGGGGCGCCCGTTTGCCAACAAGGCGTTTGATATGGCGCTCTGCAAGGGACTTGGCGGTCGCAGGTGTAAGACGATGTTTGCCAAGATCCCAGTGGTGGCAACGATTTGCCATGTGGTGAGTTTGTTTCCCATGCATTGTTTGTTTCCCTTGCCAATGATCCAGTTCTTGCTCTAGCACACCCTCTCTCTCCCTGCTCCCCATTCTGCAATGCACCTCTCCCTCACTGTCCTGATTTTTTCCAACACACCCCCCTATCCCTGCTCCCCATTTTCCCATATATTTTCAAATGTACCCTGCAGGTTGAATGGCCCATGGCAAATGCTGGGAGCCGTGACACGCCTGCCCTAGATGGCAGTGACTCCAACAACAGGAGGGAAGTGCAGCTGAAAGTGGGGGTGATCATTGATTGGATTAAGGATAGGTTATCCCGGGGGGATAATATCTATCGCGACACTGCCCCTGCAGGCTTTCAGATGGGAGCAAACCCGTTAGTGCGTATTGTGATTGCAGGGTTTGAGGACGAGTTTGCTGGGTTACTGCCATAAACCCTGGTTTTCTAATTGTAGTTTTGCTGCTCTAATGTATGCTCATTTTCTACAATAATTTGATAATCACATTATTTTTATTACTATTATTAGGGTGCTACCATTAGCTAATGATTGGGTGTTTTCAGGAAGTTCAGGCCTAGTTATGTTGGCATTTGAGTGAATGTAAACAAGGACAATTTGGCTATTTTTATCAGAACTAGAAACAACTGTGAATGGCACTCTGGTTCACTGCCATTTCAACCCCAGTAAGTGGAGAACTCTGACCCTGGCGCCATGCTGATTTACGGCCAATAAGGGCCATCTTGGGTAATTAACGGTCCGGCAATTATCGACCCCAATACGGCTAAAGTCTGCCTTATTTACAGCCGGGCAATTATTGGGCGTAGATACATTGTTTACAACCTAAGTTTGGATGTTAACGCCCGGAAATAGACCTGACATTTTTGAGATGACTAGAGCTTGTCAGCCTGTCTGCTGAGAAGTGCCTTGCTGCTACCAACGGGCACGTCGCTGCTGCACGTCGCTGCTGCACGTCGCTGCTGCACGTCGCTGCTGCACGTCGCTGCCACCTCCACACACCAGGAAGTACGCCGATTCTGTTGTCACTGCTCCCCCACCGCTGCCTCTCGTTTCCTCTACGTTCCCTGCCCACTTTTCCTAAGCGTGCTGCTCCTCCCCTTCCACCCCTGCCTTAGTTTAGCTGCTACTCACGCACTATGTAGTATGCTTTCTGTTCGTGTCATCTCTTTCCAGGATAGCTTGCCCCTTATCGTTTCATAACCACTTCTTCCCATGTTTAATCCAACTCGCTCCGTGTCTTTTACTGTCACCATATTTCTGTTTGTTTATCCTTGTCCTCCTCTCTTTCTGGCGAACCATTTTTTCCGTCCAAACTTCATAAGATTCATTCACGTTTTATCACCCGCTCTCCCAGTCGTGCAACCTTGTTTCCCCCTGTGTACATCACTGCCTTCCTCCCCCCATGCCTTTGATGTCTCATCCCTCCTTGTGCCTTTTTCCGAGTTTTGAGACAGTCTCAAAAGGCAAGCTCCCAGTCGTGCAACCTTGTTTCCCCCTGTGCACATCACTGCCTTCCTCTCTTCCTCCCTTCCCATGCCTCCGATGTCTCATCAATCCCTGTGTCTTCTTCCTACCACTGTCACCACCTCCTCAGCTACCCCTTCCCTCCATCGATTCGCACTTATCCCTGTTTCTAATCTCCCAACTTCTGATCCTCGCCCTTAGAAGCTTTGCCTCACTGCTGGTCTTCTTTATTGCTGGACATCCGTCCGCCATCTCTCATTCCCATCCTCTCTCATCCACTCCCTTCACCGCTCGTCCTCTCCCTCACCATGCTGCAGCTACGTGGAATCTTCTCTCTGCTCCATAGCCCCATGCGAGCATGCCCCACCTCCCCATGTGACCATACCCCACCTCACATCGGGTTTCATTACTTCTTTGCAGGTTTTTTCGGAAGCCATGTGTAACTTTCTACTGGTTGTTTCTCCCTCTCAACTCCATCTTACCTGACTAAAAACCAACTTCCCATTCAGGTGTCAACTGGTGTAGGTGGCGAGGCCCTATTGGTGGATACCTTGAGGAATTTTCTAAAACCCACCTATCGGAGACGAGTTGCTCTGGTGAGTGTGATGGTGATGAGTGATAAGAAGGTTGAGGGAAGACTGGTACACTGGTGCAGCAGATTTTAGAGGAGAGGAGTGACAAAAGGTGCACAGCACAAGCTAAAGCACTGCTATGGGCACCGGTAATAGAGTTGGATAGGAATCCCATTTTCGACACATTATGCCTTCTTTTCGGCGCCTAGGCATGCTAGTTTTCTTAGTAACATGCTGCTCCAGCCACTCTTGCCCCGCGCCCTCTCGCACGACAGTTCCATCCCCTTTTCCTAAAAGCCTTTCTCCTGTTTCCACGCAGCTGCAATTTCCGTATGTGTTATCTTGCCTCTCCTCTCGTCCCCATCCGCTCCCCTCTCCCCTCTCCCCTCTCCCCTCTCCCCTCTCCCCTCTCCCCTCTCCCCTGTCCCCTCTCCCCTCTCCCGCCATCTTTCCGGCAGCTCGAGCCCGGGCGGTTCCTCAGTATCTCGGTCTTTTGTTTCAAATCTCTCCCCTCTCCCACCTCCCCCCTCTCCCACCTCCCACCTCCTTTACTCCCTATCCCACCTCGCACCCCACAGCATGAGACGGGGCTTCGTCTCACCTTTTACCCTCTTCTATTTCAAGTCTCTCCCCTCTCGCCTCTCCCCTCTCCTCTCTTCCCTCTTCCCTCTCCCCTCACCCCTCTCCCCTTTCCCACCTGTCCCACCCCACAGCACGAGACCGGGCTTCGTCTCACCTTTTACCCTCTTCTGTTTCACATCTCGTGGTAAGCATAGCTCGTTGGTGCGTGTGCACTTGCAAGGCTGCAGAAAAGGTATACGACGGGGAGTTTAGCATACCGCACCATGCGGTTGTGTGCGGTTCTCACCGGTAGGATGCGAAATGGAGTCTAACGAGCGATGGCGACGCCATGTCAACAACCGGCTGACCATTGGAACTGAGAGTGGCGAACGATGCGATTGATGGCAACAGATGGGATGGGCGTGCGGCGCGTATGGACGCTGCGTGCCATGCATGGAGTGACATGCTTCTTTCACGTGCTCTCTCGTTCCTCCTCTTCCAAAGGAGACATTTCGCTGGTTCAGACAGTTTTTTCCTTCTCCCCCTCCGCTCTTCCCTCGAGTCAAGCCAGCAAGTAATCACCAATTATCCACATCTTCCAGATACGCTCTGCCAGTTGCCCCTTTTGCAAGAGTCGAGAGTAACTTTCCTCTCTGTGTGGCGTTGCTCCTTCTCAGGACGGTTCTCTCCCTTTCGCCCACACCTGTGGCCTTGTCAATCTGTCTACTGAGAAGTGACTGGTTCCCATTTGTCACCTTGCTGCTGCCCTTGCACACACCAGGTACGCACAGCACACCCCATCCTGTTCTCTCAGTGATGCCCCACTCACAACATCTTCTTGCTCCCATCTGAATCACCAGCCACCTCCACCCACCAGGTACACACAGCCCTCCTGCTTTTCCCCACCGCTGCAACTCTTCCATCCCTCTGCGTTCCCTGCCTCTCTCATCCTCTCTCTCCTTCTCCTCCCTTTCCAACCCTGCCCTGTATCATCTCAATTCCTTTACATGGTGCGCAGCTAGACTTCATGGCGCAGCCATCCGAAGCAAGTGCGGGCATCTTACCGGGCCGGCCACTTATCTGTACTATCGGCCATTCCAATCGGACATGGGAAGCGTTTACTGATTTACTTCAGCGCAACCGGATTGTCCGGGTGATTGATGTCAGAACTCTACCGGGGTCGCGCCATAATCCACAGTTCAATAAAGAGGCTCTCGAGACATCCTTACCTTCACTTCAGATTTCTTATACGCATCGTCCGGGCCTTGGGGGGCGGCGCAAAGCGCGGGCCAACTCTCCCAACACCGGTTGGCACAATCTTTCTTTTCGAGGTTACGCGGATTACATGCAATCGCCTGAGTTTGCCGAGAATGTTCAATGGGTCGCGGACTTGGCACGAGATGAGCGTTGTGTCCTGATGTGCGCTGAAGCAGTGCCCTGGCGCTGCCATCGTTCAATGATTGGTGACGCGCTTCTTGTGCGGGGTATTCGGGTCGAAGATATCATTGGGCCGAAGGAACGTAAGCCACACGTTCTTACCGCCTTCGCCCGCGTTGACGGGACGGAAATCACTTATCCGGCATTATGAGTTTTAGCCGGCATTTCCCTAGCAGTGGCAGCACCAGTGGTGGCAGCAGAGGCAGCGGCAGCGGTGACGGCAGCAGTGGCGGCGGCGGCAGCAGTGGCAACAGCAGTGGCTGCGGCAGCAGCGGCGGCAGCAGCGGCAGCAGCGGCGGCAGCAGCGGCGGCAGCAGCAGTAGCAGCAGCAGCGGCGGCAGCAGCAGCAGCGGCGGCAGCAGCAGCGGCGGCAGCAGCAGCAGCGGCGGCAGCAGCAGCGGCGGCAGCAGCAGCAGCGGCGGCAGCAGCAGCAGCAGAAGCAGCAGCAGCAGCGGTGGCAGCAGCAGTGGTGGCAGCGGTGGCAGCAGCAGTGGTGGCAGCGGTGGCAGCAGCAATGGCAGCAGCAGCAGCAGCGGGCGGTGGTTGAGATCAGGAGTGAGTAGTGTCTCGCATGGCTGCATGAGGGGAGCTGCAGAAGAAATGCCAGGCTGTTTGGGTGCAGGGTGTACAAGTATCTTCAAGAGGAGAGAGTGTACATTAGCTGATAGGCAAGGAGTGGAAGTGTGTGCAAGTAGGTGGCTGGACAAGGCCTTGCTTGTAAACAGCCTAGGGTAGAATAGTAATTTGTGAACTTGCTTGCTTGCGCCCTGTCCTGAACTGAGGCTGAACTACTGATAGTTCTGCTGGCTGACTTTGGATGCAAGCTTGTGTACGCCACACTTGATTCTGTTGTGAAATATGAAATGCCGCAGGCACGTGGCAGCACACCCGCAGGCACATGGCAGCATACATTCCATGCGTGCAGGTGGCTTCACATCTGATTGCAGGCAGGGCGAAGTGCCGACGCGGAGGTGAGTGATGCCTAGTACGGTATGCAGAGAAATCTGAACATTATTATCAACCTCTCTCTCGTCCTCCATCCATTGATGTTGCTGCCATGCCTACCAACTTTTGCTCCCTCGCCCCCTCCCCACCCAATATGGTGCTTGCGGCTCTGGTTTGCCTTGATGGAATAGTAGCTGTTTGCACCGCTTCCCCCCAAATGTCAACATCAGCTTTCTTCCACTCCCACCTCCTCGCTCATCAGTAAGCCTCTACCTCCTTCACACTCTCCCCCTCACTTCCTTCCCCTTTCCACACCAACAGCACCAACAGCGTCTGTGGTATGGAGAAGAGGAGGCGGCGGGGGCGGCTGGGGCTGGCCGCTGGTATGTGCGTTGGAAAAAGGAGGGCAATGGGGTGGACCGGATGGTCATCACCATG